AAGCTAAGTTAATCACTAGCCAAAAAGAAGGTGATAATTACATGTATTAGTGAAGGCAATGCTAGCTTCTATAACAACAACTCCCACCACTAAGATGCAGAATGTCTCAAAAACAATAGAAGTTTTTCTCTCCCTCATGTGAAGTCTAAAACAGATGTGCCTATGACAACTCTATTCTAAGAGGTAATTTAGAGACCAGGCTTCTTCCATCTTGTAGCTCCCTCATCTACAATTTTATCATGGTTTTCTGCATCAAGCTGACAAAATAAGGAAAGAGTATAGAAGAGACACACTGCTTCCCAACCATCTTGTTGCTAAGGAACTCATACTATTTCCACTCACATTTCATTGGCAACAACTAGTCACATGACTCCACTTAGCTGCAAGGGATGCTGAGATGTGGGTCGAGTCCCTGGCTGGTTTACTTCTTACTGAAGATATTGCTGTATTATGCAAGGTATAGTACAAGTAATTTGGTGGATAGTTAGTTATCTCTGCCATGCCATGATTGCCTCAGACCAGAGCTGTCTAATGGAAATATAAAGTGAGTGCCACATGTCATTTTCAGTGTTCAAGTAGCAGGCCTGGGAAGAGAAGGGCAGTACAAATTTTGATTTTATTATTATAAAATCTACCACAGAGTCCATTAGGTTCTGTTCCCCTGCCAGTCTAAGGGAGAGTGAGAGTGAGTGTGAAAAATTAAGAAGAAACTGTGGAGAGTCTGACCAGCATGGCTCAGTGGTTGAGCATCGGCCTATGAATCAGGAGGTCAGGGTTCAAGGACACATGCCCAGTAATGGACTTGCAGGAGGCAGCTGATCAATGGTTCTCTCTCACCATTGCTGTTTCTATCTCTCCCTCTCCCCTCCTCTCTGAAATCAATACAAATCTTTTTTTTTTAAAAGAGGAAACTGTGAGGTGACCTAATAAATATGGAGTTAAAACAAACTAACCAGGCAAACAACATTTTTTGAGAGCTTCATGACTTTTGAATTGTCTGGATTGTGTCAGGATACAAAACCAGACTGCTTCTGGAAGTGATATATGAAGTGAATCTATCAAGGATTTTGAGGAAGAGCTTTGGGGGAACACTAAGGATTTAAATAGGGGCAATAATGAACTAAAATTAAGTTTTAAGCCTAACCTCATTATTCCTTTTTGCTTTGCATCAATGTAGGTAGTCCACATCAAAAAAAAATTTTTCCCCCCAAAATAATTGCTGACTTTTGTGACATTGTTTTAACCTCACAAATATCATATGACTTGCAGAACCGGAGCCAAGCCATTCTGCATATTACATTACAAAAGAGTTCCTTGGAAATAATTTATGGGACCAGTGGGCTGGTAGCGACTACCAAATCTTGTTTAGGAATTTGTCCTCTGTCTCAGGAAAACAGACATAAAAGCAGGGACTAGAATACGCAAAAGGAGGCTGCAGCATAATCCCATCTAAAAACATTTTCCTTCAAACAGTATAAATCAGTTCTGTCTGTGCGCCACTGTTGACAAAGCCCCTAAAATAGTAAAGGTAAAGCAAGGACAGCATCCACAAAAAATGCCTATCTCATGGGAGAAAAAAAAGGAGAAAGTATAAGTCTCAAAAAAATGTATATACACTAACAGCTGATAGCTCAATTTTGAAAATGAAATGTATTTTAATAAACACTGCCTATATAATTATTCAAAGTGTGCATATACATGTTTTGGCTACGCTAGGTGTACATCACATTTTGTTATGCGTATTAAGGAACACAACCAAAGTCAGATAGTTAAGGAAAGAGAAAACTCACCTGGTTCTGTCCTCTCTGGGTTACAAGGACTAATGCAGATGCTGAAGACATGACTAACACAATGCAAATCATTCATACAAAAACTATGAGAAGAATCTGGGCCAACCAACTTGTCAAGGGATGAGAAAGCTGTTTGTCCTACTCCTCCCTGATTATCTTATTCTCCCATCGATCAGCATTTTTAAAAAGAAAACTAGACAGGACAGCTGGCGACACATGTCAGAATGAGTTTCCCCAGAAGCAGTGTCCCTCCCAAAATGACAATAACAGTGGGCACTCAGTCTGAGTCTGTATCAGAGCCTGCTTCCCTCTTTTTACAAAATATATTTTTATTGATTTCAGAGAGGAAGGGCTAGGAAGAGAGAGATGGAAACATCAGTGATGAGAGACAATCATTGACTGGCTGCCTCTTGCATGCCCCACACTGGGGATTGAACCTGCAACCCAGGTATCTGCCCTTGACCGAGAATTGAACCGTGACTTTCTGGTTCATAAGTCAACACTCAACCACTGAGCCATGCCAGCCAGGCCTGATTCTTCCTCCTCCTCCTCCTCCTCCTCCTCCTCCTCCTCCTCCTCCTCCTCCTTCTTCTTCTCTTTCTTCTTCTTCTTCTCTTTCTTCTTCTTCTCTTTCTTCTTCTTCTTCTTCTTCTTCTTCTTCTTCTTCTTCTTCTTCTTCTTTTTAAGTTTTTTTTTTATTTCAGAGAGAAGGGAGAGCGAGAGAGATAGAAACATTGAAGAGAGAGAAACATCTATCAGCTGCCTCCCGCATGCCCCTACCAGCAATGCCAGAAACCCCTGGCCTGGAAGCCTTTTGGTGCTTGGGACTGCACTCAGCCCACTGAGCAGCACCGGCTGGGCTCCCTCTTTAAAAAAAAATTTTTTTTTTTACTTTAAAAAAATTTTTTTTTGGTTTGGTTTCAGAATTAGTAGTTTTAAAACTATTCTGAATTTCATCAAGCCTCTATAGCTCTCCTCTGGTTTGCAGGGACTACAAGCCACTGGGAATACAAAGCACAGGGAAGTGGTTGTTAAACCTGAGGGAGCTTCCTAATGCCCTGGAGGGCTTATTGTTGTGATGCTAGGCCCCGCCCCTGGAGTTCCTGATTAGATTTTAACACATGTTTTACCACTGAGTGCACGATCCCACTCTTGCTCCCTTTCTTCTGATATGCCACTAGTCACGTCACTAGTTAAGGTGTATCCCTTCAGCCTTGGTCCCAGACAGAAGAACCGAAGCCGCCCCATGATGGATTGGTGAGAAGTAAACTTTGCTGTTTTAAGCTGCTGAGATTTGGGGATTGCTATTTAGCATAACATCCTCTTACAAATACAGATTCCTTATATTAAGCATATTTGGCATTCTGTAGCAGATTTAGCTTTTTATGAAAAATCAAAGAAAAATAAAATACATGGAAGGGCAGATAATAGTCCATTTTTCTTAGGCGTGTGCGTGTGTGTATGTGTGTGTGTGTGTGTGAGAGAGAGAGAGAGAGAGAGAGAGAGAGAGAGAGAGAGAGAGAGAGAGAGAGAAAGAGAGAGAGAACGCACCAACGAGTGCTATTCTTATACTCACCAAGAGCTAAGGGTCAAAGAGTTTCAGAACACGCCTCCTCAAGATGTACCACTTTGGCGTGTGAATTATTTTGAGTTGGAGGCAATAGAAACCCTCCGGGCTTAGGGGAAACCTTTACCTCTTCCTTAAAGAATTTAGATTTGGGGCCTTGCCCTTAATAAGAGTTATTACTAGAAATAGGGTTTTTTTTTGGTGGTGGTGGGGGGGGAACCTGTCCATAGAGAGGGGAAACATTTTATTAGTAAACATTTGCACTTATCTTGTGAATGACCCTCCTCCCCCCTGAAGCCAGAAGGTATCTTACCTCATCCTTATCTCAGAATGCCACATACTTCTCATTTTTCCCTTTCTATCTCTGACTCTCATGTATATGGGGTTCCCATACATATGTATATAATTAAATTTGGTTATTTTCTCTTGTTACTCTGCTTCATATCAATTTGATGTTATTGTTAGACTAGTGAAATGCACTTAGAAGGGTAAAGGAAAATTTGTTCCTCTCTCATATGACTTTGTGCTATTTAATCTTTCTGTCCACACAAGTAGATAGCCAAGGGCCTTATCCTTGGCTGCCTGTTAACCAATAATAAGTCTGAACAAAGATCAAAGACCACCATGTTCAAAGATGTTTATATATATATATATATATATATATATATATATATATATATATATATATAAAATGAAGTGCACAAAACGAATCATGGAAGAGATAGAAAAATTTTATGACCACGTTAGCATCCTTTTGGATGAAGGTAGGTCTTCTGTAAACCAGAAGAGAAATTCATCAGGAAGTGAAAGGATGAGATGGAAAGGATGAGATTGAAGGAGGAACACAGGCAAGGAAACGAAAATTTCAATAATAGAACTTAAATAAAAACAGAGGCAGAAATAATGCTTTGGGAAACCTTATCAGTAATTGTAAAAGCAAATTTGGTGCCATTGACCTATTTGGGAGGTCCAGAGGGGAGGTTTTATTTTTTTTCGGGTAGAAGTTTAATTGGAGGCCATTAGGAATGGTTGGAGATGGAGCAGGTAGGGAGAGAGGCCACAGAGATGCATGCTCAGGTGGGACGGCTCTGGAAGGGCCAAGCGGGGGGCTGGAGGGCCTCCCGCGCGTCCATCTGCACGAGGCTGGAAGGCCCATGCGCCCACGCTCCTGTCCCTCGCTGCGGGGTGACTCCAGTCTCTAAACTTCAATCCCAATGATTCCTGGACCTGGAAAGCCCATTGCGGTCCTTTCTGGCTGGCGGGGCTGCAGAAGACACAGAAGCGGCAGTGGTGGGAGCGGCCGGCAGGGGGCGCTGGCGCGCTGGCCGCGGGCGCTCGGGTGGGAGATCGCGGCCGCGAGAGAGTTGAGAGCAGGGGTCGCGAGAGCCCCGGCGCCACGCCGCGGACAGTGGGCGGGGCTAGGGTGGAACGCGGCGGTTCCGGAAGGAAGTGGTTCCGGGTTCGCGGCTCCGCCAGTGGCGCCGCCGCGGTGGGACGTGGATGCCGCGTTAGGGGCGAGGCCCGAGGGGGCGGTGGCGGCGGCGGGGACCTTGCGGCGGGACGGACGGTGAGTTGAGTGGCTCCGCGGAGCGGAGGGCGTGGAGGCTCCGGGCTGCGCGGAGGGCGTGTCCGTCGGTGGGAGGGGCGGCGGCGGGGATGGCGGGGCGGCGGCTCGAACTCGAACTCGGGGCACCGCTCCCCTGACCCCACCTTAGGCCGTTGGGCCGGGGCCGCCCTAGGCTCAGAGACCCGGGCCCCTGCCGCCTCGGCCCCCGCGGGCTCGGCCAGGCCGTCGGGAGTGTCGTCGCGGGGCTGTGGGGGGCGGTGTCGGGGCGTCGGGGACGGTGCCCTTTTCTCGGACGCGCCCCGAACTCCTTGCCTTAGGGACCTGAGGAGAGGGGCCCCCCTTTGTCCAACCCCTGCGTTGACTTTTAAAACTTGGCTTTTCAGCAACGTGTCCGACAATGGGCTCGTCTGGGCTTCTCTAGGGCGGTGGTCGGCAAACTCAGTCCTCAGAGCCACAGGTATTACACTTCAACTTCTTCTAACGCCTCTTCTTCCAAACAGACTCGCCGGGGCCGCGGTATTTTGTGGAAGAGCCACACTCAAGGGGCCAAAGAGCCGCGGGTGGCTCGCGAGCCGCGGTTTGCCCGCCGGGGCGCTAGGGTGTAAGGGGAAAGCGGGCCCCGTGGTCAGGATTGTCCCTGGCGGCGGAGGGCGGAGGAGGGCGAGAAAAGGGAGAGAAAAGGGGGAGAAACACATCCTCCCGAATATTCAACCGATTCAACCGCCCACATCTTCCCGAGCTGCCCCTTAGGGGGTGCGTTTCTTCCTGGAACGACTACCTGTGGGAGCGGGATGTCTGCCAAACTTCGTAGCGTTTTTTCTGAAAGCGGGCTGTTCCGAACGAAAAACTGCGATTCGAAAGGAGAAGGTGTCGGTGTGCATTCCTGAGTGCTTTAGTTTTCAAAGGCGTTTCTAAAATCCACACAACATGGGTCCCTAACAGAAGTTCCGGTGTGCGATATGGTACAATACGATGCTATTTTAATGGTGGTGGCGTCATAATGCGTTCTGGTGGGCCTTTGGTTTTAAAATGGCTACTAAAACCTTCTTTTGAACGCCCGCCTGTCCCCACCCCCACCCCGGGAAGCCGTCGGACGCCTTATTAGAGACACTGTAAAATAGCCACGTGGATATGGTTCTGCTGGGTATGCATCTCCAGTCTTTTTCTATGCGGAGATCTCTTTGGTAACCCTTTTTTCCCCTGACTACCTAGCTTGCCCTTATATGGTGGTAGTAATTTATTTAGTTGGTTATTCCCAGTTTTTCACTTCTTAAATACACAGTTGGATAAATGCAAAGTCTGCCTAACCAAGTTTACTTTCTTAGTGTAAGTTCCTAGGTGATAGAACTGTGGTTTTTTTAAAAATGTGAATTGCTCAGTTTCCCTCTGAAAAGTTTGTGCTGGTTTGCACTTTGACCAGTAATCTTTTTAAAAAATATATATATTTTATTGATATTTTACAGAGAGGAAGGGAGAGAGAGAGAGAGCTAGAAACATCGATGAGACAGAAACATCAACCAGCTGCCTCCTGCACAGCCCCCACTGGGGATGTGCCCGCAACCAAGGTACATGTCCTTGATGGGAATCGAACCTGGGACCTTTCAGTCCGCAGGCCGACGCTCTATCCACTGAGCCAAACCGGTTTCGGCTCACCAGTAATCTTTAACTTTTTTCCACCCCCTTCCTGGCAAAAGGCAACATTTAAAGGGCTTGGACAAGTAGCAGGGAATAAGGGAGAGAGGGAGGGAGGGAGGAAGGGAGGGAGGGAGGGAGGGAGGGAGGGAGAGAGAGAGAGAGAGAGAGAGGGAGGGAGAGAGAGAGAGAGAGAGAGAGAGAGAGAGAGAGAGAGAGAGAGAGAGAGAGAAATCCATGTGTTTCTGTCATATCGATCTCTTGCCTCCAGTACATGCCTCCACCCAGACAGGGATGGAACCCTTGAGCAGGAATTGAACAAGCAACCCGACTCTAACCACTGAACACACTGGCCAGGGCACATCCCTTGCTTTCTTATTTGTTGATAGCATTTGAATTTCACATCTTTTATTCCACCTTTACTAATTTATAATTTAGTAAAGAAAGGTTACCTAGGTGAGGCAAAGGCTGCATAGAGTGAGAGGAGATTTGGCATCAGGACCTCCTTATATTCCGTGGTTACCTGATTGCCTTGAACAAATCACTTATCTTTTCTAAGGGACTATTTCCTCAACTCAGAATTAGAAGTTATAGAGCGTTTGCCTTACCTTTTCTGCAGGTTGGTTTTAATGGTCAAATGAGACATTTATGGAAAAGTGTATTTAAGCATACTTTGTCTTAAGCTTCAAATTATTGTCATCTTGTAAAAATTTAAGGGCACAAAAGCTTCTTGATTTTTTTAAAGCAAATATCTGAATTTAAAAGCTATTTGTGCTCTAACCGGTTTGGCTCAGTGACTAGAGCATTGGCCTGCGGACTGAGAGGTCCCAGGTTTGATTATGGTCAAGGACATGTACCTTGGTTGCAGGCACATCCCGAGTAGGAGGTGTGCAGGAGGCAGCTGATGGATGTTTCTCTCTCATCAATGTTTCTAACTCTCTATCCTTCTCTCTTCCTCTCTCTAAAAAATCAATAATATATATATATATATATATATATATATATATATATATATATATATATTTTTTTTTTAAAGCCATTTTTGTGAAATCTTTTGTCTCCACACCCTCACTCCTTAAATTTGATGTTTTATTACTGCTGCCCCAGATTATATTAAAAACTATATCACAATTATAAAATCAGGCGAATGAAAGAATCTACACAGTGTTGAAGGAGAGAATAATTGAAGGCATAATATATAAAGTTGAGGAGGACAGATAGAGAGCTAAATAAAACACAGTCCTTGGGAACAAGACAGATAACACATAGTCTTTGTGCTCTACAGGCTACGGAATGTCCAGGCAGTTAGAGGGTATAAAAACTGCTTTCCAAATTTAGACAGCAGTTTTTAAAAATTTATCTTTATTGTTGAAAGTATTATGGATGTCCTCTTTATTTGTTTTTCCCTATTGACCCCCTCCACTCCGTACCCCCCCAGGCCTTCACCACTCTATAGTCTGTGTCCATGGGTGATGCATATATGAATAGAAGTTCCCTGGTTAATCTCTCCTCTCCCACCTCTCATCCCCCCTTTCCCCTTAAATCCATCAGTCTGTTCCATTCTTCTAGGTCTCTGGTTCTGGTTCTGTTTTATTTATGAGTTTATTTTGTTCATTAGATTCCCCTTATAATTTAGATCGTGTGATGCTTATCTTCCTCTGACTGGCTTATTTCACTTAGCATAATGCTCTCCAGGTCCATCCATGCTGTTGCAAATGGTAAGAGTTCCTTCTTTTTTTTACAGCTGCGTAGTATTCCATTGTGTAGGTGTACCATAGTTTTTTTATTCCATTCATCTGCTGATGGGCATTTAGACTGTTTCCAAATCTTGGCTATGGTGAATTGTGCTGCTATGAACATAGGGGTGCATATATCCTTTCTGAGGGGTGTTTCTGGTTTCTTGGGATATATTCCTAGGAGTGGGATTACTGGGTCAAATGGGAGTCCCATTTTCAGTTTTTTGAGGAAACTCCACATTGTTCTCTACAGTGGCTGCACCAGTCTGCATGCCCACCAGCAGTGCCTGAGGGTTCCTTTTTCTCCGCATCCTCGCCAGCACTTGTCATTTTTTAAAAATAATTCTTTATTCAGATTATTACAGTTTTCCTCTTTTTTCCCCCTATAGCTCCCCTCCACCCAGTTCCCATCCCACCCCATGCAATTACTCCTCCCCCTCTGTCCTCGTCCACAGGTGTATGATTTTTAAAAAATATATACCTCAATATTTTATTGATTTTGTACAGAGAGGAAGGGAGAGAGATAGAGAGCCAGAAACATCGATGAGAGAGAGTCATCGATCAGCTGCCTCCTGCACACCCCCCACTGGGGATATGCCCGCAACCAAGGTACATGCCCTTGACCGGAATCGAACCCGGGTCCCTTCATTCCCCAAGCTGATGCTCTATCCATTGAGCCAAACCGGTTTGGGCAGGTGTATGATTTTTGTCCAGTTTCTTCCCGCACCCCCACACCCACTTCCTTTCAGTGTCCCTGATTCTATTATATTTATGCAAGAGTAGGCCTTCCTTCCCCCGGCTGCCTGTACTGAATTCCCTCTGGCACCAGGACCTAAGCTTCCCTCTGGCCACCAGCAGGCACCCGGGACCGGCTTTCCCTCATAGCCCTGGCTTCATCTGGAAGGTCATCTGGAACGATGTCTGGTCTAATTAGCATATTATGATTTTATTATTATGGATTGTAAGGTTTTCATATGTTCTAGATCAATCCCTTACCAGATATAATTTGCAACCTATAGAATTATAGGTTGTCTTTTTACTTTCTTTGGTAGCATCTTTCACAGTGTAAACATTTTTAATTATGATGATGCCCATTTTGTTTTTATTATTTTTATATCTAAGAAGCCACTACCTGATCCAAGAGCACAAAGATGACTTATCTTTATGTTTTCCTTTATGTTTTATAGATTTAGTTCTTACATATAGGTCTTTGATCCATTTTGAGTTAATTTTTTATATGGTATGAGGTAGGGTTGAACTTTATTCTTTTGAGGATATCCAGTTGTCCCAACACTGTATGTTGATTTTTTTTTTTTATCCTCTTAATATCTTATTTATCAGGTTTCCCCCCTCAGTATGCTTTAAACCCAGCTATTGCCTACACAACACTGAGCTTTCACTATTATTCTCTTTTCCTATCTCTTCTCTCATTTTTTTAGTTGCAACTTTTCTACTCTGTCACAATATGCAAAAATTTTACATTGGTTCCCCACCTTCATCTCTAACTTTCTTTCCTTTATTTCTTTTCTCTTTTCTTTTCTCTCTTCTCTTTCTCTTTCTCTTTCTCTTTCTCTTTCTCTTTCTCTTTCTCTTTCTCTTTCTCTTTCTCTTTCTCTTTCTCTTTCTCTTTCTCTTTCTCTTTCTCTTTCTCTTCTTTATTTTCTTTCTTTCGACTGTCCTAAATTGTTTATTAGGTAAGAACTTTACAAACATTACTTATATCAGCGGTAACGGCGGAGCGGGAGTGTTGCGCCTTCTCCAAGCCGCAGGGCGAGAACCACCAATCCTGGGGTGGAACTTGCAGCCCTTCCCAAGGCCCGGCTCTTGCGGCAGGCCAGGCCGCAGATGTCAGCCCGCGTCTCCCTGTGCTTGTGGGCTTCCAGCAAACTTAGCTGGTTCACAGGAGAGGGACAGGCTGGCCGCAGGTCACACCCTTAGGAACAGGGCGTTTGCGGCCATCACGGCGCACAGGAATCCCATGTATGACATAATCTTGCTTCGTCTTGTAGCCCAGCCTGCGCGCTCTTTGGGCCGGGTGGGGGGTTGGGGGGGGGAGGGGGCTTGTGCTGTGCAGAGAACCCCGGCGGTA